TGTACGGTACAGCAGTCCACCCGTCTTAAAGTTGCCAAGGTTGAGGAACCCTGGTCTAATTCTTCCTCTTGGCCCACTTAATTCTTGGACTATATTTCATGCTTACGACCTCCTATAGCCTTTTAAGTTTATATTCAGTTTATTGTTTGAGTTGCTTAAATTTTTGTACAGAAATTGATTGGAAAATGTTATATTCATATTATACTATACAAATTTTAAGACTTCCTAAAATCTTACATTTCAAAGCAGCTAATTACTTCCTCCCAGTCCTGTCAGCTGTTTTGTTCTTTTTGCTGATTCAAAGGTAGCAAAAAGTGGTAAGTTGCAAAATTTACATTTTTTAGATCCTGTTTGTGTGGATGGAGAAGACGCTGATGCTGTAGTTTGGAGAAGCAGTTACTTTCTGCTATTTTGGCTATTATTTCTCAATGTGTGTAGACCAAAAATATGGCCACTGCATGACAGTCATACTATGTTTTGTGCTGTTGGCATATATGGGGTGTCATCATCTGGGAGAGGAGATGATTGTCAGAGAAGGAAAATTAATCCCCTTACCATCTATAACTGGTATTATGAGAGGAAGGGAGAGAAAGGTTATGTGACTAATATTTTTCTTTGTCCCTGTTTGAGAAAAAGAAGAAATCTGTTGGCCTCCAGCATATTCCTACTTGGGTTCTTGCTTAAGTCTATTGGCTACCAGTCTGTTACATTGCTTTAGGGAATCTTGAATTTTCATTTTTCATATACTCAAGTGCAAAGTACTTCATGCTTCACATAGAACCCCTTTGTTACCACAGATACATTTTTGAAGTAACAAAGGTTAAGACTTAGCCCAGACCTTAAGAAAGTAGACATAATTTTTTTTTTTTACTCAACCTCTTCTGAAATACTGCTACTTTCTATTTCAGTGTATCACATTCCAAATTAGATCTGGTACCACATGAGAGCGGACAGTGCTCTCTAGTTCCACTGACAGCCCTGAAATCACCCCCTTTAAATTTCCATCTGAAATTACACCACTGGATAGTCATCATTCTAATTTCTCCTAATTCACTTACAGAACTTTGCTTCAAAATACCGAGGGAATTACCGACTCCTGGGGGAGGTATTGTGCACTGTCACAGAGCCGACAACCGTGGCAAAGTCCAAGGAATCGGTGAGTAGACCAGTTCCTTGGAACCTCTCCAGATAAGGAGAGGACAGGAGATTGTCCACACGTGCTCTGGACAGCTGCTTCTCGTGAGGAGACCACAGGACAGTGGTTTTCCATGGGTTTGAATGCCAGGAGATGATGGGATCAGCCCTCTTGCCTGCAATTGTGGCAGAGCCTTTTAAAGGACATTAAGCTGGCAAATCTCACTTTCTAATCATTTTCTAATCTATTAACTTTCTAATCTATTAACCATCTTAAAGCTGTTAGAGACCTTTGGAATGACAAGCTTGAAAAGTCTTCATCAGGTGAATTTATCTTCAACTCTGAACAAAAGAAAATTAATTATAAGGTTAAGAACTTAAAGAATTTGAAATAAGCAGCAAAAAGATAAAAAGATTTTGATCTAAGAAAGGTATAAATGGATTAAGGGTCCAGATAAATTTGGAATATTGACTTTTACTATAAGATTTTGAAATTACCTATAAAAAATAAACAGCTTCTCGTGGGAATCAGACTTATTTTGGCTATCCTGGCTATTGCAAGTCATAACAAAAGATAAATGATGATTTTAGAAACTGGACACTAGAGGGAACTAAAGATTTTAAGCAGAAGAAGAAAATATATAAGCCTGTTCTTAATGTCAGTTAATACTGGGTCTTACAAAATGACACAAAATGTTGTAACATCGGAAATATTAAAGAAGATCTTTGAAGAATGGAGCCAGAAATTAGTAACTACAATATCAACGCTGTCAGTAAAGATGCCTGCTTCTATGGATAGACTATGTCTAAAAGATGTTAATGAAGGAATGACAAATGTGGAACAAATTTTATCTGACATGACAGAGAAAGTATTGAAAATGGAACTACAAATGATAGGCCAAGAGAATGATCCGGAAAAGGACGCTTTACTGGATATACAAAAGAAACTGGCTGAAGTTTTAAAAATTAAAAGGGAAATACAAATGATAAACCAAGAGAATGACCTGGAAAATGTTTTCTTATTGGATATACAAAAGAAACTGGCTGAAGTTTTAAAAATTAAAAGGGAAATACAAATGATAAACCAAGAGAATGACCTGGAAAATGTTTTCTTATTGGATATACAAAAGAAACTGGCTGAAGTTTTAAAAATTAAAAGGGAAATACAAATGATAAACCAAGAGAATGACCTGGAAAATGTTTTCTTATTGGATATACAAAAGAAACTGGCTGAAGTTTTAAAAATTAAAAGGGAAATACAAATGATAAACCAAGAGAATGACCTGGAAAATGTTTTCTTATTGGATCTACAAAAGAGGCTTGTTAAAGCCTTGAAGAAACCTATGCGATGGGATAAAGAAGAATTAAAGTCAAATCCTACAACAATATTTCATTGAATTAAAGATTAATACTGTTAGAAGTAAAAGGAAGGAATATAAAGTTAGTTTATTTGATCCAGGTTAAAAATAAGAGGTTTTTTTGCAATGATCATGGACTTTTTTTGCTGACACCAGAATTGAAATGTTAATGTTTTATGGATTTGCTTATAGATAAGGGATCGGATATGGGATGAAGAAATATCTGTTTAACCTTATAGAGGGTGAAGAGTTATTAAATTTGTTTATACTTGTGATGAAAGTTGGAAGTCACTTCTTTATGTATTTCTTTTCTTTTTCTTCATTGCATTCTTTCTTTTCTTTTTCTTCTTTCTTTTTCTTTTTTCCTGCAGTTTTTATTCTTTCTTTCCATTCTCTTCTCTTCGTCTAAGTTTAGTTTGTGTTAGTTTTTACTATTGTAATTACAATTCTTAATAAAAATTATGTATTAAAAAAAAGAATACTGAGGGAATTACCAAAGAAAATTCTCTGGTCTAAGTTAGAGGAGCACCATCACTGGGTATGTGCTGGGGAAACCCAGGGATGCACAAGGAGTTCTTCCCAGATACGTAAAAGCTATGGCACAGGAACATACCAGCACCAAACAGGCACTCCTCCATTGTTGTTGCAGAGACTGGAATGCTCACCGTGCATTAGCATAAAGATATCAGGAAGCTCAAACAGAATGCATCCAGAAGCCAGATCAAAGCAAAATTCAGAAGCAAAAATTATTCTTTTGCATTCTATTCCCCCTGACCTACAAACAATATAACAAAGAAAAGAGAGAACGTTTGGAATGAAAAAGCATTAATAAGTTTGCCACAGATCATGAAGCACTCTTACATTTTGTTTTATGTTAAACAAAGGGGAGTTTTACTTTCCTTAGTCTCCTTCCCAGGGAATTTTTGACAGAGTATATGGAAGAAATCAGAACAAAAAAGCAGAGAAGTTGACTTGATTGAAACAAAGGTT